GTGATTCTCATTTTATGCAAAATCGTGCAGCCCTAAGTGAAACTGACATTTTCTACCTCTTTCTGATGTTTTGTGTAAGTGCTGTTGCGAGTGATTTCTGGGCATCACTTTGGCTTTACGCCAACAATTAATATATAGGAATGCACTTGTAAACATAAGAAGGATTTTAATTAATATTTTATGTGCTGAAAGCAAATATAGTGAACTTTAGATAGGAGTATAAAAATTTTATTTTAATAAATAATTACACTTAAAGCAAACTAAAATGATAAAATCCTCCCTGTGCCCACTTCAGATTCCTGTAATTACATCAGAATCAGAATACTTTATTAATCCCAGAGGAAATGATGTAGCTGTTACAGTGGTGCATATTCAGTGTTTAATAATAACTTGCATGCAGGCTATGTCACCTGATGGGGAGGCCATCGTGACCGGGGCTGGAGATGAAACTCTGAGGTTCTGGAACGTCTTTAGCAAGATGAGATCCACTAAGGCATGTTTTCTTCCCATTTCTCACTTTCTCTGTGTTGGGCTTCCTTGAATGCAGTTTTCATCACCTGCGTGTTATTTTTGTAGTGGTTTCTGTCTAACGTCCACCTTCCTTCTTTCAGGAATCAGTCTCTGTGTTAAACCTCTTCACCAGGATCCGGTAGTCTGCACGGTGCGGGGAATAAAAACAGGAAGGGAATTTGTCTTTGCATGTCTCCTGGTGTAAATGGGGCCTCTTTGAACACTCACCTCAGTACTCTGCAGAGGTCCTCCTCAACTGGTCTTAGTTAAGTTGTAGCAGAAGATGAGAGGAGACACATAGACCGAGTATCGAGGGTAGAAGAGATGCTCACAGTATTCCACTTCCTCCTGAATGATGGAGCCACTGCCGCCTCCAGTTTCGGGGCCTTTATCTCCCCGTGTCTGCAAACAGACGTTGTGCATACCTGCCAAATATTGAGTTTGTCCTTGTGATCGTTTATTTATTTTCTGTTTTTGTTTAGTTTCTTTGTTGTTTGTATGTTTTTTGCTCCTTTTTTTTTTTTTTTTTTTTTTACATTTTTAACATATGTTATCGACGTATTTGCTGCAAAGGCTGGTTGACTTAATTTTATGTGCATAACTGCAGTTTTTTGGTCTGATCTGTGGAGCAAGTTTGATTTTGTTCAGGTTTGCAGAAAAAAATTCCAAGCTTGCGTTACCTTTTCCTGAGGGGCAATAATGTTTCGTGTACACTGATAAAAGATTCATAATCTTGTGCCATTTTGCTAATAGTTAACAAGGATTCAGTGAAAGAGCCTGATGTCTCTTGTTTTTGTTTTTTAAGAAAAATGACATTTTTATTTTAGTTAATGAAAATAATAATCAAACATGGCAAGCATTACTTCATTATCTCCCCAAAACAATTTGTTTTTGGGAGATTATCTTTTCCTAATTGAAAAGCAAGCCAAGGAAAATTAAAAGGAAATAGCTTTGGCTTATCATTGTAGTTTACAGCAACCACTAGCGCACAGTAAAAACATTTGTAATTAAACCAGATGGTGAAATGCTGCTGTGTAAAGAACTTCTGCTTTGTGCTATGTCTGTAACATATTCAAGCTTGGGGCGCTCATTTTTTTGCTACTTCAAACTTCTGTGTCAGGCAGTCATGCTGTTGAACTTTGTTTTTTAATCTGGAGAAATATTTCATATCCTCTGCCACGTTTTCTTTGAATGTTTCAGCCACCTACCTTTGAACAAGCGCTATTTATTTGTCTTGTGAAAGTTTAGAGTACAGAGTGAAGAGGTTTGCTTAGCGAGGTTGTCTGAAGGGAGCTGACGGTCAACTCTAAATTTTAATGTCACTTAAAGACAACGCTGACAACTTCAGTTATTGAAAGAATGTTTCAAAAAGAAAAAAGAAATATTTCTGTACTGGAACATGAACAACAATTAAATTGCCATATCTTGTAACTTAGTGCTGTTTTATTGGACTGTAACTACTCCTCAAGTTGTTAGTAATACTTTACGTTCCTGCTTTGTGCTCCAACCAAACATTCATCTGTTTAAACTAAAGGGTGTCTTTAGTTTGCAGTTATTCTCAGTTATTACACGTTTGGTTACATTTAGAGAAGAATCCTTTGTATGAATTTATTTATCATATAATTTTTAGAGAACAAAATATTTTGATTCTGGTTTCTAAACTGAGATGTGAACATAAGATAAACCTTTTTAGTCCCACATGTGGGAAATTTTTTGGTCATGGCAGAAAGTACAAGTTAAGAGCAGTAAAAATTGAGGAAAAAAAACAATAGAATAGAATGAGATATATGTATAAAAAAAAACATACTGTAAAAAATAGAATAAAATACTTTCTCATATTGGGAAGATTGCACTTCGTACTATTGCACATTGGAGAGACAGGATGAAATTTGTATGGGATGTGTGTGCGGTCATCTGCAAAGACCATGTTGTAGAGTCCGACAGTAGCAGGAAGGAAATACCTGCGAAATCTCTCCGTCCCACATCATGGGTGCCGCAGCCTGCCACTGAAGGAGCTGCTCAGTGCTGTCAGAGTCTCCTGCATGGGGTGGGAGATGTTGTCCAACAGGGATGACAGCTTAGCCACCATTCTCCTGTCACCCACCACCTACACTGGGTCCAGAGGGCATCCTAGAACAGAGCTGGCCCGCTGCTACTCCAGCAGACCACACCGTAAAAGATGGCTGAGGCCACCACAGAGTCATAGAAGGTCTGGGCCCTTCACTCCAAAAGACCTCTGCAGCAGGTACAGCCTGCTCTGCCCTTTTCTGTAGAGAGCATCTGAATTGTGAGTCCAGTCTAGTTTATTGTTCAGATGAACACCAAGGTACCTGTAGCTGTCCACAGCCTCAATGTCCATACCTTGGATGTTTAGTGGTTGCAGTGGAGGATGTTTGTGCCTGTGGAAGTCTACCACCAGCTCCTTGGTTTTACTAGTGTTGATCTAGAGGTAGTTCTGCTGGCACCAGTCCACAAAGCCTTGGGCCAGCACTCTGTATTCCTTGTCGACCCCATCAGTGATGAGGCCGACTATTGCAGAGTCATCAGGGAACTTCTGCAGGAAGCACTGAGTTGAGTTGTGAGAGGAGTCTGCAGTGTAGATGGTGAAGAGGAATGGAGCCAGAACCGTTCCTTGTGGGCCTCCCATACTGCAGACAACCCTGTCAGACCCCGAGTTGTCACATACTGTGGTCGATTGGTGAGGTATTCCAGTATCCATGTTGTGAGGTGATGGTCCACTCCTGTGTTCTCCAGCTTGTCCTTCAGAACTGAGGGAAGAATGGTCTTAAAGGCACTGGAGAAATGAAAGAACATGGTCCTCACAGTGGTCTCCAGGTGAGAGATTAAACGATGTAGGAGGTGAATGACAGCATCATCCACTCCAGTGCCAGGCTGGTAGGCAAACTGAATTTGGTCCAGTGATGAGCTCATCAGGGGGCGAGGTTGAGCTAGGACCAGCCGCTCCAGGTTCTTCATCAGGTGGGATGTCAGAGCCACCGGCCTGTAGCTGTTGAGGTCCTCTGGACAGTTAAAACTTTAATAGAGCTATAACAATATAATCTCACTTCCCTGTCCTTAGATGAGAAGAGTGCCACCACTGTGGTCTTCTCCTGCTGACCAGAAATCCCAGCAGATTAGCAGTTTCTGAAATAGTCGGACTAACCTGTCTGGCACCAACAACCACGCCACAGTCATAGTCACTTAAATCACCTGAAATGTTGTACCTAACAAAGTGTCTGTGGATTTTGTGTTTTGATTCTGTGTTTTTCTCTCTTATTTTGGGTTTTCACTTATTTTGTCACTTACCCAAACACCTCCCAACATATTTGTCTTGTAGTATTGTCAGAACTAAAAGTGAACACCAGAGGGAGCCATCCTATGAGCTCGTCCAAAATGAGTGATTCAGTGACGCTACCACACAGCAGAATCTACCTGAACAAAGCTACCTCAAAGGTAAGGATCAGATCTTACATTCAAAAGAGGAATAATTTGATATTAACAGCATTGGTTGTTTTTATGACAAGCTTCTGGAAAGGGTAAAAATCTGACCAGACAAACCCCACGGGGCATGTGGTTTCATTTTACCCTCAGTTTAAAACCATATTTGTTCAAACGGGAGCTTTTAACAGCCAGAAAACATCCCGCGGCCTCACCTGGTTTCCAGGAAGTGTGCAAATTTTCATCATATTACCAGCCCAGCCCACACAAGCATAGTTTTGACCCAGAGCATGAAAAATAATGAATGTTCACTGCCTCCCAAAGCTCCCACACCTCTGCTTGTGCCCTGTTGCTTATCCAAACTCCCTCTTACACATTCAAACAGCAAATGGATTTTATCAGTGTAAACAACAGCTGAAGGGTCCAAATGCATGAATAATGATGGCTGATGTTGAATAATTATGGTGCTCTGGTTTTATTTTAATTTGTAAAAACTGAAATGATCCACAGCTTTGTTGGTATTTGACTATTAATAAGTAGGGCTTAACAAACAAAGATAAAAAAAAAAAAAAGAAGAAAGAAAGAAAAATATCACTGCTAATTGAGTGGCTTCAAAAATTAAAGGTCTTTTTCGTGAAGTGGTTGCTTTTTTTCTGTGATGAAAATCAAGTAGTGTAGGCCTAAGTGACTCAGCTCTATCAACACCAAAGAGCCCAAGCCTCTCTCCCCTTCAGACTCCATTATAATGTCATCGAAATAACATGCATAGTCCATTATAGTGATCAGATAAATCATCTGAATGGAAGACTTTCAGCACAGTCTTCCAGTTCATCTGTGGCTCTTGCTCACTGTGCAGATGTTAACATTAAGCCCTGAAAGCAGAGGGGAGAACAGAGGGAGATCGCTAATATGCATAATCCTACCTCCTGATGTTTCTATCAAGAGGCACCGAGCGCGTGGTTCGTTATACAACTAAAGCCTCACAAGACAGCGAACATGATATTCCCCCAGGTTCCTCCCTAAGCCTGACTCTTGAGTTTCATTGATAAGCAGTCTTTACAGGGATATCAAAGGAACAAAGCTTTTGTGATAGCTGCAGCCACCCAGGTTTCTTCTTTGGTCATTTTGTTAGAAGGAAAAGAGCACAGAGAGTCACTCATGTGACTCATGTCCCACTGACACTCGTCAGTCACCCCAGCAGAACTTTGGTATCCATAAAATGACGGTGGATAGGTAAGGATGGTTTTCTTCAGCCTGTAAAGTATGACCAGCTGTCAGATGGTGAGCGTCAGATAAGATGCTATGATTTCAGTATCTCACTGGAGGGGGGAAAGAGCTTAATCGAGCAACCTAAAAACTTTGATGAAATGTTTTTCAGGGGACTCAGGAAACATCCTCGGATTGGCGTTAGAGATTTCTTTAATGGAAAATATTAATCAAATAATGAATGAGTGAAATTGTTTAAAATAAGCAAGTGCCAGTTTTAAACATCTTTATTTCTTAACAGTTTAAATTAGGACAATAACAGCAAGAAAGTCCTGGATTTGAAACCAGCCCGGAGCCTTTCTGTGTGGAGTTTACATGCCCCCCCTCGTGTCTGTGATGGTTCTCTCTCCGTCCTCCCACAGTCCATAGACATGCATGGCGTTACCATAACTGGTGATTCAAAAGTGACCATGGGTGAGACAGTGAGCATGAATGTGTTAGTCCTGCAACAGACCTTATGCTATGACAGCTGGGATAGGCTTCTGCTCTGCATCAGACTGGTGACCAGCGGAGGGAGTGTGACAGCTGACAGTTGGGATAGGCTCTCGCCTCATGTGGTCTTAACTTGGATAAAGGAAGTAAAAGAAAAGATGGACTGCTGATAAACTGCTCCTCAGTAAGTAAAGTTTCTTCCTTTTCCCTGCATGTCACTGTAAATATCACATTTTAGGCGGGGGTTTTGGCAAAACACTGACAAGATCATTTCCAGACATCGCTGTGCTTTGGGAACCTGAAATGAGAATTTGTGCTCATTTTTGGTATTTTATAGTTCATGTGAAAGTAGAGCGAGAAACTTAACTTGTCAACGTGATTTGATAACATGCAAACTTATGAGCAGGGCTCAAGATTTTTTGCAGTTTTTAAATCATTCTGGTTGCACGATAATAGTTCTCCCTTTTCTCATAAAAAGGTAATGGTGTCTAATTACAGTCAAAGCTTCTTAATAGCCTACGCTGAGGTTTACTAACAATTATTAATTATAAAATATAATTCACAATGGGTATAATGGAATCTTTTATGCAGACCAAAATTATGGATGCTCCAATGTATTTATTTAATAGCTTCAGTGAGGAGCGTTGCAGTTTTTCTCTGGTCCAGATAAGGTGCGCGAGGAGGCATGAAGCCAAACGGGACCATTGCTGCTTGATGCTGACTCAGAGAGCTGCTCAATCTTGGAATCATTACAGCGGCAAAACCAAACAATATTACATCAAAACTTTAAAAAAATTGCAAACTGAAATCATGTTCAACCCCTGCAAGCCAATTCACTGACACTGAACTATTAAGTAGGTCAAAAACTGAGTAATTGGATAATTTGACTCTCATGCCATTTGCATTTACTGTTGCTCTAATGCAGAAATGACTGTCCAGCATTCTACTGTGTCTCTAAGATGATAAACATGTTATGTTTACGTGGGTTGGGTGTGTTTTACAGTATGGACTATGAGAGGTCTTCTGGGAACCTGTGTTTGATTTGGTTGTCCTCAAAGACGGATACAAGACTCCTTTTTTGTTTCATCCTGCTAACCTTGACATCTTCTTTTCTTTTAAGAAACTATTAGGATGCAAAGGTTGAAAAGAGCATTTCCCATAGACTACATCTTTTATTAAAACTGTAGTTCAGGAGGTTAGCGCAGGTGATCGTAAGGTTGGTGGTTTGATCACTGGATTCTCTAGTCTGCATGCCAAATATCCTTCAGCAAAATACTAAGCCCAAGTTGCTCTGT